CAAAAATCAATGCTTTATTGAATTGCTAAAAATGACAATATACAAAAAAGTAGCAGTATTTTTAGAATATGTTATAGTAGTTAAAAATAAAATTAGTTTCTTATCTCAGTGTGATTGCTAATCACCATCGCATAATATAATATAAAATTCATCTTTAGTTAACAAGGGACAGTGGATATACATATCCATTATATTACTATTATATTATCTTGATGGATGGAATACAGGGGAATGTTGGGTGCCATATCCATTAAACTACTATTATTATCTTAATGGATGGAATACAGGGAAAGGTTGGGTTGGGTGCCCCCTATATTATCCATATCCATTATATTACTACTATTATCTAGATGGATGGAATACACGGAAAAGGTTGGGTGCCCCCTAGATTATCCATTTCCATTATATTTCTATTATTATCTAGATGGATGGAATACAGGGGAAGGTTATGTGCCCTATAAACTATCCATTTCCATTATATTACTATTTTTATCTAGATGGATGGAATACAAGGGAAGGTTGGGTGCCCCCTAGACTATCCATATCCATTTCAAAAAGGAACAAAATGCTGCAAGGATAGTATATATAAGATATTGATATAGATATTATTTTTTTCATAGAGTTTAAAGTTTTTTGCCACAAACTCTGATTTTCTAATTTCAATATCGTTGCAACCTAATGTCGTAGACCTTTAATATTTCAAACTATGAATGCTATTAGATCAAATAGTGTAAGTTTGAAATACCAAAGGTTTACATCATAAGGTTGCAAAGATATAGGTTTTACAAAAACTAAATTTGTGGCAAAGACTTAATTCCTTTAACGACAATTATTAGTTTTGGAATGAAAATTTCTTTTGATCGAAAAAGTTAAAGATTTTTAAAGCTTTTTTTCTAAGCTTTTTTTGACAAGGCTTATATTATAAAGTTTTTGGACAGAAATTATCGTTGTCTTAAATTTGATATTGACCAAGGAATAGTGCTTTGTCATTTGATAAATAAGATTTTAACTTTTTTTAATGATAATTCGTTCCGAGCTTTACCGATGGACAAAATATCATAAAGGTTCACTTTATACCAGAACTCAATCAATAGAGAAAATTCTGTCTTAAAACTTTTTTGTCAAAACTCTTTTAGTCTCATAAATTTTCCTAATATATATCATTCAATTATTCATTTCAGTTTAAAGTGCATTGAGACTTGAACAACTTTGTTGTTTCAGACGAATGCAGAAAATCCTTTCGCTAATATTAGAACTGGTACACGGGGGTTTCTAACTATCAACAGCAAGGACTGTAGGTTAATATGGGGATATTTAATAATCACTGAATATCTAGAGGAAGGGGGGGGGGGTTAAAAGAGGTGGGCAAAAATAGATGGGATGTGTGATTAGAAGGTTGGCTATGTGAACTTAATCCTAACAATGTGAAGATCAAAATGGTAAGCGTGTTCAGTAGGTTGGGTATATGAACTCAATTCTAACAATATGTAGGTTTTAACGGTTTCATGTTCAGTAGGTTGGGTTTATGAACTCAATTCTAACAATATGTAGGTTTTCACGGTTTCTTGTTCAGTAGGTTGGGTTTATGAACTCAATTCTAACAATATGTAGGGTTTCACGGTTTCTTGTTCAGTAGGTTGGGCATATGAATTCTATCCAAACAATGTGTAGGTTTTCACGGTTTCTTGTTCAGTAGGTTGGGCATATGAACTAAACAATGTGTAGGTTTTCACGGTTTCTTGTTCAGTAGGTTGGGCATATGAACTCTATCCAAACAATGTGTAGGTTTTCACGGTTTCTTGTTCAGTAGGTTGGGCATATGAACTCTATCCAAACAATGTGTAGGTTTTCACGGTTTCTTGTTCAGTAGGTTTGGCATATGAACTCTATCCAAACAATGTGTAGGTTTAAACGGTTTCCTGTTCAGTAGGTTGGGCATATGAACTCATTCCTAACACTGTCTACTTGTCTAGGTTTCAATGGTTAGCGTATTCAGTAGGTTGGGTGCTGTGTGAATTCATTCCTAACACTGTCTAAGTTTCAATGGTTAGCGTATTCAGTAGGTTGGGTGCTGTGTGAACTCATTCCTAACACTGTCTAAGTTTCAATGGTTAGCGTATTCAGTAGGTTGGGAGCTGTGTGAACTCATTCCTAACACTGTCTTTCAATGGTTAGCGTATTCAGTAGGTTGGGTGCTGTGTGAACTCATTCCTAACACTGTCTAAGTTTCAATGGTTAGCGTATTCAGTAGGTTGGGAGCTGTGTGAACTCATGCCTAACACTGTCTAGGTCTAAATGGTTAGCGTGTTCAGAAGGTTGGCTGTGTGAACTCATTCTTAACACTGTCTAGGTCTCAACGGTTAGCGTGTTCAGCTGGTTGGCTGTGTGAACTCATTCCTAACACTGTCTAGGTCTCAACGGTTAGCGTGTTCAGCTGGTTGGAGCTGCGTGAACTCATTCCTAACACTGTCTAGGTTTCAACGGTTAGCGTGTTCAGCTGGTTGGCTGTGTGAACTCATTCCTAACTCTGTCTAGGTTTCAACGGTTAGCGTGTTCAGCTGGTTGGCTGTGTGAACTCATTCCTAACACTGTCTAGGTCTCAACGGTTACCGTATTCAGCTGGTTGGCTGTGTGAACTCATTCCTAACACTGTCTAGGTTTCAACAGTTAGCGTGTTCAGCTGGTTGGAGCTGTGTGAACTCATTCCTAACACTGTCTAGGTTTCAACGGTTAGCGTGTTCAGTTGGTTGGCTGTGTGAACTGGTTCCTAACACTGTCTAGGTCTCAACGGTTAGCGTGTTCAGCTGGTTGGAGCTGTGTGAACTCATTCCTAATACTGTCTAGGTCTCAACGGTTAGCGTGTTCAGCTGGTTGGCTATGTGAACTCAACCCTACTATCAGAAACTCATTACAGGTTGTTTAATATTTCTTTTCAAAACCGTTAATTTAATAATTGTTTACATGTCCCAGAAAATTTGTTTTGTTTCCCAAAAGCTTTGTAAAAATTTAAGGTATTTAGGCTTTAAGGACGCTTCGCGCACATCTTCTATTTTAACTTTTAATTGTGGATCTATCTGTAAACATGTTCTTTGTGTATAAATTATAAATCAAAAACAAAAAAGTTCGCGGAAATAAAAATATTTTTTCGTAGATTTTAAATTTTTTTTGAAAATCAAAATTTGTTGGGGGAAACATTTTGTAATTTTGATCATCCATAATCCTTACAGATGTGGTCATGTGAGGTCCCACAAAAAGTTCGGGCCTGATCGGTTCAGCCGTTTTGACGTTTATTGGAAACAAACAAACAGACACCCAGACAAGCAAAGTATATATTAAGATTAAAATGCTATTTTTTTATTAACCATGTATCTCATTAACCCTAAACAGTCTGGGGGTGGCGATTGGCGCCCCCCCCCCGTAGTTTTTTCGTCCTAGCACTCTCATTTTTGACACTATCACCGTGAAATTTTGTGACTTATGAATTGTAATTTGAAGGATTGTTTGCTAAAATATTGTTTTTTTTATTTAATTTGACGGTTAGCGTACACGGCAGAAATAAAGTCCGGCTTGTGAAAAAATAAATCTAAAATAGCACATAACTTGTTTGTGACTAAAGCTGCAGATCTAAAAACTATATTTTTGAAAAGCCCTTAAAAATGCATTTTTGATATTTGTTTAAAACAAAAATTTTTTTTTTCCTATTTTTGACCCTTTTTTCGACAATTTTTGCCACCCTCCCTAGCACCCAAATTATTAACGTTATCGGTGTCATTTTTTTTTCTTTGAGCTGGCCATTTAAAATTGGGCGATGAACATGCATTTTAACCCTTTACCTATTCTCTAGTGCCTTTTTCTAGGGGGGGGGCGGCAAACGCCCCCTCCCAGGCTATGTATAGATTCAGTCCCCCTAGCCTTTATAGGGTTAAACATAAAAATGTTGGATCATTTTGTATCGTTTGAGTTAGATAGTTAGTATAAATAATCTTAGTTTGAAGTATGGAAGATATATGGGTTGGAACATTATAATTAGTGGCAAAAACTCAAGTTCTTTCCTAAAAATTTTAAATTCAAGCAATGTAGTAGGCAATTAGTTCAAGGCAATTATTGTTGCAATTTTCTTTTTAAAAAGTCTATAATATTTTAGAGAAAAGTTTAAACATTTTTTAGATGTTCAATACACAAATCACTTCTTCTGACAAAAGACAACTCGGTGGGTATACAATTGACAGCTGTCAGTTAATGTGCGAATCTGATGCTGAATGTAAGGTATATTATTCGATTCATTCTGTATCATAGAAATAAAATATGTATCAACTGATTTAAATATTAAAAGACTATTTGTTCATAAGTTTAAAGGTTTTAGCATAAATATATTTTTAAGACACAGGAAAAATGACAAATATGACTTTAATTTCTTGATTGTTTAGGCTTGGGGGTATTGTGAAGATACTTGCAATTTGGAAACAGCAGATCCTAGGATCACTAATAACGTGTCTAAGTAGGTTTTTGAATATTTTTTTCAAATAATTTTAAATATTGAAAAGTAATAAATTTTAAATATTTAGTTGCACCTCCGGGTTCAAGTCCAGCTTCATCAATGTTCCCTTTGCTTAAAAACCATGTTTTTGGAAAAAAATAAAAAATGTTGACAACTAATTTATAGAATAAACATTGGTTTCACAACCATACCCTTTATAAAACCTTCATTTTTTGAGCATCGAGAATATATCGCTTTCAAGTGAGTGTCACATAGGGGCTACTCCCACTGAGATTTTGTCAGTTCTTATATATATAAAACGAAATTGAACAAAATCAAATAAAAATCTTTATAGTGTTGAGTGTCATTACCATAACAATAATCTAAACTTCGAAATATTTAAAAAAATAGAATTTTATTCAAAATAAATTACAATATTTTTTACAAACCCAATAACAATTTTTTTTACAATACTATAACAAATACGACATTATTATTTTATAAAATGTAAATTTCAACATCATTAAAAAGACATAATAAAAACATTGTAAATTTTGTTGCAATTTGGAACAGAACTAATAGTAAAAGTGTATCTATTCTAATCAAATTTAAGAAAAATAGATAAAATTAGAAAGGGGAAACTTTGGATGTTTAAACGAGGTCTCGTGGCCCAAAATTTTGAAATTCCAAAAGCTTCATGTTTCAATGTTTATCTAATGAATAAATACTAGAAAAGTCAATAGGAAAAAAAAGTATGTAATATCTTCTAGAAGAATACATGTCTAGAAGTCTCCAGGATGAATGCATATCTAGAAGTCTCCTGGACGAAGGACTGAATATCTAGAAGTCTTCCAGGAAGGATGAATGAATATCTAGAAGTCTCCAGATGAATGAATGAATATCTAGAAGTATCCAGGATGAATGAATGAATATCTCGAAGTCTACGGATGATAAATATCAAGAAGTCTCTAGGATGAATGAATGAATATCTAGAAGTCTAATGAGGATAAATATCTAGAAGTCTCCAGGATGACTGAATGAATATCTAGAAGTCTCCAGGATGACTGAATGAATAGCTAGAAGTCTCCCAGGAAGGATGGATAAAAATCTAGAAGTCTCCTGGATGAATGTATGAATATCTAGAAATCTAAGGATGATAAATATCTAGAAGTCTCCAGGATAAAAGGATGAACATCTAGAAGTCCCCAGGATGAAAGTATGTATCTAGAAGTCTCCTGGATGAATGAATGAATATCTAGGATCTGTTATCATATATTGAGGAAAGCTGGGCTGATCACCAAAACGTGAATAATCCCGCCTAAAAAATAATAATTAAATTATTCCTCGTCATCGATGAAAATCAAACCATTTTATTAAATTTTGATTATAAATGCAATAACAATAATAATGCCAAAAAAATACTCTAACCTGTGTACATGGGCTTTCTCCAGGGATGGTAGATACTTAAACAAGTCCACCATATCCTCATAATCCAGAATACTAATCTAAAAATATCAGAAAATCTTAATTAAAGAATGGAACTATAATAACAACCTGAAACTTTATGCGACATGTTCATCAAAGTTTATATATTAACATGTTCATTTCACAACGGTACCCTTGAAGGTATTGCTGATCAATGCTTTCTCTTTGAAATTTGACTAATTTCAATTGTGGTTTCTCTTGTGGATTTCTGCTTTAGAGACACATTCTTGATCAACGAAAAAACACATGAAATAACAACAAAATCCATTAAAGTAAGTTATGCCTATCGCCTGTTCTCCAACCTGTGTATCCGGATGTAGACCTGGTTGGTATAGAACAGGTATTGAGAGGGTCCTGAGCTTGGTCAGGTTCGAGGTTCGGAGTAAATATTTCCAGGTTGGAGGAGTTAACCGGCTGATAGACCCACGGGAAGAATACCTAAATAAAGAGATTACATGATAGTTAAAAGCAATTGTTCTTATTTCAAACCAATCAAAAAAAAAAGAATATCAGGGCAAATCGTGGCTAGATTTCTAGACAACTAGACTTAATGCCGACCTTAACTACTTTGATTATTAGTAGTAATGAACTCAACCTAGTTTTAATATGTTTTTCTTTTTAATTTCATGATTTAATCCGGTCCCCATTAAAAAAAAATAAAAAGTTGTGTGCATACCTACACAATAAGAACCAGAACACCTCAGACACAGGGGGAAGCTTCAAGTTTCTAAAGGAAACCAAAAAATAATAATTTTCTACCTGAGCCATTTAAAGCTTGCTTTGAAGAATGTAACTGACAGTGAGGAACATTTGTGTTTTGAAAAAAAAAGATAAATTCGTTCAATATCGTTCCTTGCAAAATGGTTTTGCTCCAAAAAAGGGAAATATATATAGAGACCGGACTTTTAAATAATAAATCTTTAGGTGTAAATCAAAGATATCTCCATCATTTTTTTACTTTTCCAAAAATACATGCTTCTCTTTGGAAAATACATGCTTCTCTTTGGAAAATACATGCTTCTCTTTGGAAAATACATGCTTCTCTTTGGAAAATACATGCTTCTCTTGGGAAAATACATGCTTCTCTTTGGAAAATACATGCTTCTCTTTGGAAAGCCTTAAACACAAGGAAGCAGATTGCACGTCTTAAAGGGGAATTTGCACATTTTTAGTTTTTGCAAATATTTTTGCGTATTTGAATTTGTTGGTATAAGAGCTTTTCTAAATTGCGTGCGCACTTTTAGTTTTCTTTCACATTTTTCGCTAAATAAATTTGCAAATTTTTTTGCAGATTATTTAATTTCCAAACATGTATCGTATGTTATAGATTTGTATCATCACAATAAGGAAATGAAAGGGGGGTCACAGAGACCTCAAAACCAGTATATTTTGGGTAAACTATGGACGTCAGTCGGAATAGTGTTAAGATGTATACCTATGACTGCCGTGTCCCAGTGCCAGGTACTCCAGATCTGGAAGTTTAGAGAATATATACTCGACCAGAGTCAAGGGAACAGTGTATTCAATACTCAGTCTTTGCAGCCGTCTCTACAATACATTTATCAGGTAAAGAAACTAATTTATTGAAACAAACTCAGTTTTCTAATCCCTATATCTATGCAACCTGAAATTTGATATTTTATCATCAGGCAACTAAAATATAAAATTTTGAGTTTGTGACTTTTAAGGTTTTTTGAATTATTAAAGAATCCACAATTTTTTTAAAATAAAATGTTAACCCCGGGAGATAATCTACATGAAATGATGAACGAACTAAAAAAGCGTCGAAAAATCTTATTATAAACCTATGCTTGAGTACATGTTGTGTAAACAACATAAGACTGTTTTGCTTTCTAACATTTCTGCAAAATGAAAAAAAAACACTAACTACAGCTTACGTCAGATGAGTCACAAGACTAAAACAAAATCATTTACAAAGACAATCTCGAAATTGTCAATTAAATTTTCATACAGGGGCCTTGAACTTACCTGTAAAGGGGGATTTCCGTCGAACTCAACAATCTGATTTTCGTCTACATCATCATACAATACAGCATTTGTATTCCTAGATACATATATATATATATATATATATATATATTCTATAATCAGAACAGCTTCTCAGTTTTTATATTTACTAATGACATTTTTAAAATTGTTTCAGATCTCTCGATCCTCATCAGTCAATAAAAATGGTTTAACTTTTATATATATAATATATATATCATTAAAACATAATTAAGAATACATTGTATTAAAACTAAGAGTGTAAATTTAGACAAATTCAAGTTTAACCCTTGATTGTATTTTCTTAATTATTTATAATTTTGTCGTTATTTGATGCATTATGCACTTGCTTAAAGGGACTGTAAAGGAAAAATGAAAGGGGATATAGGCTGAAAGCTAATCTCTTTAGCTCTTGATCGCGACCCTTGAAAGTTTTATCTGATGTTCCTGTCTCGAGAAATTGATATAAAGCTGTGTTAAAATTATGTGAAAGTTCATATATGTAAAATTTAGAAAATCTTTAACTTAATCACTTGACCAGAACTATCACCAATCGCATAGCAGTATACTGGTCACTTGTCTCCGCCTGTATCACGTGACCACTTTACTGCACTGCCATTGTTTGAATTTCTGGTCAAGTAATACGGACGTATAAATAATATTATGAATTAAATCTATAAAAATAGAAATAATCTTTTTAAACCCACTACTTTTATACAAAATTGTATATATATTGATTTTCGTATAAATTGGACAAAGTTGTGAATCAGTTTCTCGAGATAGGAACATCAGATATAACTTTTATGGGTCACGATCAAGAGCTTAAGTGATTAGCTTTGAGCCTACACCACCTTTCATTTTTCCTTTACAGTCCCTTTAAACTTCAACTTGTTGTATAAAGTTGTAGTTGGCGTTTTTATGTCTTAACATAAGTTCATAACTCATGAACCCCATGACTATTTTTGCCCCAAATTTTGATTGGGGAACTCTTGAGAACACTTAAATAGCAAAAATCTATTTTCCTGGTAAAATCGACCAAATGCGGGTAAACGGCGGGAGTAATTATTAGAAACCTGGACAACGCTGGGTTCCCAAGCTAGTAATTATGATATTATGGTTGTAACATTCAAAATAGTTATAAGCATAATAATGATAATGATAAGGATAATACTAAATTAATGAGTTACCTGAGAATTATTTCTCTTATTTGAGGCATAGAGCTTAATATTCTGGCAAAGTTTATTAACACATTTGTTATGGTAACCTTAAAAAAAAGAGGATATGATTAAATTAATATATAAACTTTTTAGCATCACTTTGAGATAAAAGTTCTTTTTTAAAGGAACTCTAAGCGTAACTGTACATGTCCCTCCATTCAAAGATGGAACTGCATGATTCAAAGATCGGTTCCCTTTAACGCTTTATTTGATTAGGAATAAATTAGATATCAATGATTATTTTCAATTGTGGTTTCTCTACAATAAAGACTTATCCAATCATCCCAGACTAACCAGAGTGCAGAGAGGCATTTGGTTGCTTCTATTTTAAATCATACGCGTTTTGGTTTATGATTAAACAATCTTTAAACTTATGAATATTATTTGTTTTATACTTTTCATTACAAACGTACATGCCGACAAAAAAGTATAAAAGATAAGAGGCTAAAAAACTTTGTTTAATAGGTCAAATTGTGATCAGAAGTCACAGCTTTCTGGAATATTGAGAGAACCGTTAAATCCACATGTGCAATGCGCACTTAGGCTACAGGAACATTTCAGATAATCGGGCATCGCCATCTTTGCATGGAGGGTCACTTGAAATAACGTTTACAGATCCTTTAAGCTAAAATTTTGGCAAGATATTTTAGCGATAAAATGTGATAAATTATTAAAAGAAAGGGGGGGGGGACTAACTCAGTATTGCCCTCAGTTCTTTTCATTTTGGTTTATTACAATCCTTTCATTGCGTTTAAATCACCTTTTTTAGTTGAATACTTAAAGCTTCTAAACACATCATACAGGAGGCAGGGTCCACATTTTCTGTTTTAAAACAAGTTAAAATGCGATTTTTTATAAGTGTAAGTGTAAGTGTAAGTGTAAGTGTAAGTGTAAGTGTAAGTGTAAGTGTAAGTGTAAGTGTAAGTGTAAGTGTAAGTGTAAGTGTAAGTTTAATTGTAAGCCTACCTAATTCTAGAATATTAAGAGATTTAAATGACAGCAGCTGCTGAATATGAGAACTAGATAACTTGACATGATCCATCCCATTCACAGTTTGTCTAAAAATAAAAAAAAATAAAAAATAATTCATTCATTTTCAATTTATAAACTTAAGATTATTTAATATTAGCTTTATAAGAAGTTTTCCTATTTGAACTTTAAGCAATTGGTTTCATTAAAACTTAAAATATGTATTACCTTGAATCAACGCCAATATAAAGATCTTGAAGTTTAGGGGCACCTAAACATTAAACATTGACAAAGTTATAAAATAATCCAATAAGAAAATTTATAAAGTCACCAAGTTCTACATAGTTGTATTTTGCTAAAGCAAATTACAACTTATAAAACATTATTATCATTCTTGAAAAATGTAAAAACAAAAAACATAAAAGTAAATTAAACAATGCACAAAATGTGTAGAAAACTTAAAGGTGTTTTCACAGACTTTTTTACATTTTGTATTTTCATATTTTAATTTATCAAAATAAAAAATTTTAAAAATATAAAAAAGAATTTACTATTGTTAATTTCTGACCTAGTACTAAAGATTTTAGTATGAACTCTAATCTCCCTTCGGCAGGTAAACTTTCATTATATCCCTTCCACAACCGCGTCATCGTTTCTAGGCAAAAATTCTTTTTTGAAAAATTCAGTTTTTTGATATATACTTTTTGGAATGTATTTTTGTTTCATCTTCTAAAGGATTTGAGTTTTGTCATAAACACAAATTTTCTAATCCCTTAATGTTTGCAACCTGATGGTGTAAACCTTATATTTCAAACTTATTATTTTTATTTGAATCAAACAAAATTCATATACAGTAAATACTGTATTTCAATAATTTTAGAAGTCGTGAAACTTATTGCTGAAAACACATTTTGTTATCAGATAAATATAAAAATTAAAGACGATTTACAGATAATCTTTTAAACTTCATATTTCATATTAGCTGACAGACCTGAATCAGGTTGTTGTATAGCTGCTACAGCTAGAGCAGTGGGTTGGCCGGTCAGATTATAGATCCTATGCACGCTAGGTAGACAGAAACCTCTTCTATAGTACAACCAATATCAAAACAAATATATTATTACAATACAGTGAAAACCATAAAACTATGGAAAGATTGTTTTCGTCTTCTTCATTACAATATTGAATGTCGCAAAGTATTGTGTAATTTGTAATTGTTAGAACTGATTTATTTAAAGCACATTCTTAGACAAATGGCAAAATTCTTAACGATCTTTATTAAAAAAATATTTCCACTTTTTGGTCAACACTGTAAATGTAATAATAATAATGATAAAATTATAAGTATTAATTTTAAAGTTTAAGACATTTTATTGATAATTACTAATTTGAATTTTAATATGGATATTTAGGTTCAATGTTCAATGATGATTTATTGATAAAGGTTTCCTGTAGTGTTCAGGGGATACTTTTCTAACATCTGTTACAATGTCAAAATCAGTCAAATCCAAGTGTCTGAAAAATAAATAATAAGCAATTACTCTTTTTAGTTTGTACGATCATAACTCATGACCGATTTGCCTTTAATTTTGAGGGGGGAACTCGATATAATTACGAAAATGTTCTTTGTTTGAATTCCCAAGCCCCCTGGATTAGTGAAACCTATGATTTATAGTGGGGTTTTACCTGGAAAGAAAAGTGTTAAGCCCCCCCCCTCTGAAAATTCCTGCATACGTCCCTGATTCTTAAAAATTTATGATTTAAAAAAGGTCCATTACCGTAAACTTGTACACCAAGCGATGACAGCAGTGGAAGCATCTAAAAAGTTAAGAAATGAAATGATGATCGTTAAATTCGTCACCTGAAAATTCAAAAGTGTGGAAAGTTTTCAGAAATTTGATGATAAATGTTTTTTAAAAAGTTTTCAATAAATATCGAAATTTTACCTCAAATTTTCCAGCAAAGTGTATTCTTTAATAAGTAATTGTACCCACCCTAGCTTAATCTTTAACCATTACTTTTTTATAAATTTTGTGTAATATAATGTTACCTATTCGTTCAGTCGCATTGTGGATACTAAAGAATGTTAAACTCCTAGCTAGCGGGGTCAACTCAACCTGTAATATGCAATACTAGCTGAGGTACACGGCGCGGCGTTTCCCGTACATTTTTAAAAAATAATTCGAATATTGAAAAAAAATTATTTAGAAAAAAAATCGATTTTTGCAATTGGTAAAAACAAAAAAGCTTGTATAAACATATCCAAATATCTATATTATAAAACAAGACATTCGTATATATATATGTTGCGTATAGCCGGCCAAACGGCTGGACCGATTGGGCTGAAATATTTTGTGGACACTCATGGGGGTATCTTAGCATAAAAAATTGGGGAAAAAATTTTCCACGTGCAACGCCGGGCCTTCAGCTAGTATATATTATAAGTGAAGATCTTTATTTTATAGAGAACATTTAAATAGACATTTTGAAGCTATGACCAGTTTTTGTTGCTTGTATCATTGGTATTTCTTACTACTGCCTCGCCAACATCATTGATCAGATAATGGTTTAAATCAAGTAGATTATCAAGTACAATAGGTAGCAACAGAGAAATAAACCAATTATACACGACGTCACAAGTGTCAAATATAACAAGGAAAATAAAATTTTCTCACATTAGTTGACAGTTTTTTCAAGATTAAATAAAAAAATGTAAAACACTGAAAAAAGAACACATAAAATTCCACTTATTTTATTGTAAGATAAGCACTTTATTCTAAAATTATTATTAATAATTTTGATGGACACAAAAACTGAGTTGACACTTGTGACGTCAGAATACAACTGTACTGAGAATGTACATCTATTGTACTGGACACTATATACCCCTCTGTTAAGTCACATCAAGTTACAATGACAGTGAAACTTTACCTTTTTCTTGAGCACTGTATCCAAATGCATCTGACATCTTCTGAAAAAAAATAATTTTTTTCAAATAATATGATGATATTTTCTTTCACCAAGGCTAAAATTGTAAAAATTTAAAATATATTTAATTACCTTTTTATAGAAGTAGCGGCAGCAGTAATTCTGGGAAGAAACCGTTTTCTAAAAAAATTTGTTTACAGTGGTAACTAAAAATAGTGGATGGTTTCTTTCTTTTTTATGATAAATAAAACTAATGATTACAAAAAAATTGTTAAATGTGACATGAAGTTAAGACTTTTGTGTAAAAGTATGCACAAATGGCTCTATAAAAATCCATGCAGGGTATTCAAAAGATTATTTCCTCAAATTCTAGTTCAGTAAAAGATGTCACTTAAATGTTACTGATTGATTAAAGTCAATCCCCTGCACTCCTGGAGCTAAGCTTTAGACTTTAATGAAGAAAAAACTTTTCTTTCTAGAAAACTTTCTTTAGCGAGTTTGGGTTCATTGATTTCTCCAATTTTTTTCAGCTCAACTTGTTTTAAAACAAAATAAATACATTATTGAAACAAAGGAATTGAGTGTTTGCCACAAACTCTGATTTTCTAATCCCAATATCTTTGGAACCCGATGTCGTAAACCTTTGATATTTCAACTAATATTATTTGACCTAACAAAAGTCAAAGTTTGAAATGTCAAAGGATTACGTCGTTGAAATCTAAAGATATAGGGATTTGAAAATCAGAGTTTGCGGCAAAGACTCAATTTCTTTGGATGTTTGATTAACATTTCGTCTTACTTTTCCTTATGCCAGCCCAGTCTCCCATCTCTCCATTCTTCTTCACTCAATAAATCACTTTAAATAGTTTACAATTATTCAGAGTTAAATATCTTTTATTTCCTTAGAGCAAAAACTTTTGAATGTAGTTAAACTCTTTAGATTTTATATTATAGTTAGCTAATAAGACTTAGAGTAAACCAAAAAATTAAATTAATATTTTTTCTTGTTTAATAATGAATAATAGTTTCCTGAATTGAGCCGGGGGATCCTGGCAGAACAACCAGAGATAAATATCATCTCGTAGAATCCAAGAATGGGTCAACTCAAGTTTACCTGCACCAATACGTCTAACTTCAATTTAAAATATATTCAAATCAAAATTTTAAAAAATTCATATCTTCTATATAAAAAAGAAAGTAAAGTTAGGACACCTCTACTGAGCATAGAACTGGGAAATCTTAAACCCTGTAAGTCGTGGTTGAACTATAGTGAGAACCAGAAAACTTTGGAAAAGAACGACGACTTTTTGGGAAAAGTTTTGACTTTAAATATTCCTGTGAACATGAGACCCAGTGCTTTAATTAGTTACTCGTTAAACTATTTGCTTTTTAACAACATTAAATGCAAATTAGTATTGCTTTAATATCGTCTTACGGGGGCCTCTCTGAATTCTCCGCATAATGTTTAAGCATGAAACATTTAAAAGCCATATATTTTCCAGACTCTGATATCAAAAAACGAATTTTCAAATGTTCTAAAACCTGGAGCCAGGTGTGGTATCAAGATAAGAATAAAATGTGCAAACCCACTTTAATTATATCAAATTAAAAATTACTTCCTTTTGATATATATATTTTCCAAAACGTGTTGTATATTATTTATATCAAACAAAATAGAGATTTGTTTGGCTAAAAAAAATCTGTCATTTAGGCAGTATGCCAGGAGATTAAAAGATAAGATTTGTTTGTTTGTCAAAAGTTAAGGATGTTCCTAAATTAGGAAGGTTATTTCCAATGGCGGAAAACAGGCTGGTCATCTTGGTGTAGTAGATTCTTACATTCTCCTGAGTAATCTCCCTAAAATGTAAAATATGTTTTATAGATTATTTTAAAAGGAACTGTAGTCGTAATTTCCAGTGAACCTCCATGGAAAGATGGCAATGCCCGATTTACAAGGTAACCCTTGAAACTTAATCAATAATGTATAAAGATTTTTCTAACTTAGAAAGTGTTTATTTCTGTTGAGTTTCTCCATTGCATAATATAGACAAGAAATGCGCACTTTCGCAGAGATACTGCAAATAAATCTTTTAAAGAAACAAAAAAAAATGATATCTAATTCATACCTACCCTACTATAGAAAGGTCCCAACCTTACCTACCCTACTATAGAAAGGTCCCAACCTTACCTACTCTACTATAGAAAGGTCCCAACCTTACCTACCCTACTATAGAAAGGTCCCAACCTTACCTACTCTACTATAGAAAGGTCCCAACCTTACCTACTCTACTATAGAAAGGTCCCAACCTATTCCCTACCTACCACAGTCATCAGACAAGTCAAGGTCAAGGAAATATGCCATACCCGACCTTACACAATTCACACAACGAACCAGGTCAAGTCGAAGATACCAGAGAGAGGTCTCCTACTCTACCTTCTCCATTACGGTCCAGGTCCAGTCAAAGTATAACATCAGGGATAGGTCCAAAACTTACCCCAGGACAGTTCATGGCCGGTCCAGTCAAAGTAATGTCCCTATTCTACTTACCCCATCACAGTCCAGGTCCAATCAAAGTATACCAAAGAGAGGTCCTGTAACTTGGTCCAGGTCCCTGGGGGGAACATGGTCCTAAACAAATATAAGATGCATCTTATGATTAAAGCTCGAGACTACATATTATCGAAGATGACTTGTGCCTAATCGATAAAAAAAGAAAATTAAACTTTTTTTGAATAGTTGCTTGTTGAAAACATAAATAGTTTTCTCCATGTTCGTTTTTAACTTACCCATTAATATTTACAAGTTCATACAAACATCCAGCTGAGTGCTCAGAAACGAATTAATATCTTAAAAAAATTTAGAAAATTATTTTATTATATTAAAATGATATATTTTAAATAAATATGTATAGTTTAAAACTCCTACCCTTGAAAGTTAAACTTTCTAGCCTCCATTTCAGTTCCTTTATCGACATCCATTCTTAAAACTAAAAATAAAAGTATGGGTAAAATATATTTATCAACTACAGTGTTTGTTTATGTATCCCATCCCAGTCAATTTTACGGTTTAACAGCAAAAAATGTCTTTTTAATTAATAATAGATGATTAAGATTCGATCATTCGCGATAAGTGAGACACCGGTTTATTAAGGTGCCTTTGCGAATCGGGCACAGAAGGGAAGTCACGGTTGGGGGGGGGGGGCGCTTACACCCCCCCTTGTGTTTTTCTAAATAACTTTAAGACGACTGACATTCTTTTCAACTTCACAGTTTTGCTAAAAAAAATTTATGCATAGGGTAGGGTGGAGGACAGACAGACGGCGGGTCGATGGTTCAAAAAAAAATCAGAAATGGTAATAGCTTTTAAATTAAGTAGGCTACAGGGCTAAAATTTGTACATCTGAGAAGCCCTTGTAAAATGGATGCAAAAGCATGCTAATATTTTTCAACATTTTTCCAACGTACTTTTTGAACCTTTGTAAGTCCTTATTTTTTTTAAGTTGGACTTGGGAAATGTATATATTTCACTTCCCTATCTCAACGCTCAGGGCAAAACCATAGGGGGAACCCCCCCCCCCCTCTGTATTAGACAAAAATAGTCCAATCGGGATAGGGTCAAGGAAGGATTGAAACAAAAACATGGTTAATTATTTTTGAAGATCACCTTTCAGCATCTGAGATGCATCTTTGGCAGGGGCCTCTCCTCTCGCCCACTCACTGCCCCCCTCAGTCTCTATACTTATCTCTCTAATAAAAAAATTCTAAAATATAATATTTTACCATCTTTGACCATCATTGCCGACCTATGATGATTCCCCCAAAAATGAGGACGTTCCTTTGGGACAATTAAGTGGATGAAAGACCTGCACTGTAAAAATGTTGTCTAAAATATTGCGTATTTTCATCCTAAAAGACGATAAAATTGTTTAAAACTACTTCATCCATTGAAGTAGTTGTAAAGTAACTATTAGTATCCAAAAATATTTAAAACTTATAAGATTTTAACCCCTGGATTCGGGATCCATATCTGGAGGTATTCAGAACTTTTTCATCAATTTTATAAGTTGCTAAAGTGGATATCGATCAAGCTTTATAAATAAGCGCTTTCTCACTCATAAGTTCTAAATGTGAAAATGTTTACATATAAATTGTTAATAATTTTTTTAACAAGAAATTAAATAACTTTAGGATGTTTTGGTTTTAATACAGCGGTCTTGAAATCTAANACATTCTTAGCATACTAGCCCTAAATCAGATATTCCAGGATTAAATTCCCATCCACTCCACATTCTCAGCATACTAGCCCTGAATCAGATATTCCAGGATTAAACTCCCATTCCCTCCACATCCTCAGCATACTAGCCCGGAATCAGATATTCCAGGATTAAACTCCCATCCACTCCACATGCTCAGAATACTAGCCCTGAAGCAGATATTCCCGGATTAAACTCCCATCCACTCCACATGCTCAGCATACTAGCCCTGAATCAGATATTCCCGGATTAAACTCCCATCCACTCCACATTCTCAGCCTACTAGCCCTGAATCAGATATTCCAGGATTAAACTCCCATCCCCTCCACATTCTCAGCCTACTAGCCCTGAATCAGATATTCCAGGTTTAAGATCCCATTCTCTCCACATATTCCCAACATACTCGCTTAGGTCAAAGGGATTGTATTTTGAGAGTGGTATGTCGGATTCACAACAGTATCCTTTGAACCCTTGGCTAATCTCAAATGAATCATATATTCTTATTTTTTCCCTTGAAATTTTATATTTTTCAAATCAGAAAAACGATGATATCCTGCTTATTGTAATTTAGATAAATATGTAAAGGGTACTAAATCGGACATGCTATTATTTTAAATGGATCACTTGAATTGACTGTAGAATCCAACTATTGATAAATATTATTTTGTTATTTTTATTCCCCGATATCGAGTTCATGTTGACCCGTCAGCGACTCAATGCATTCTGTATGATAATGTAAAACATTAATATTAAAACATTAATATGCATAATTAAATCACTTTGAATCGTTTTTCATGTAAACAAAACCGTATTACCTCAAATTTGAACTCGCAATCCCAGAGAGATTGTTTTCCAAGGATCTTTTTGTGTCTACTACTAGAGCCTCCAATTCCTCTTTTGATCGTAAAGCAGCGATTCTAACGGAAATATCGGTATTTTTATGTGAAGAAATATTACTTTTACAATCTTAGTATTTTAGTCTACATTCAGGTAATATATTCAATGAAAAGTTTCTTTTAAGGGACTGTGGAGTGTGGACCTCATTTCAATTGACCCTGCATTTAAAGATTGGCATCTGGAACTAAAATAGGCGAATTAGAAACATTTATATCTGAGTAAAACATAAAAAAAAGTAGAAAGGTATAATCGTTTTTTCTTATTTTGAATTCTAGCAATGTCCTTAATTGCAGCATACAAATCCACACTCCCATTTAAAACTTTAATCAAAAATTGAAAAATTTTAGCCAGTAAAACGAGGATATTCATTTTCTTGATCAGACGAAGGTTTCTATAGAGTGCCGCAGTATATCGGATCCATGCTGCTATACAAATGAAGAGCTAACTGATATTAGGTCTGCAGTCACATTAAGATGTGTAAAGACGTATTGTAAATATGTAGTACAAAATATTTTTTTGAGCCATTATTATGTCGAAAAGGGTGCAGGGGGGGGGGGGGGAGTGCAGAAGTAAACAAACGCCATCCAAACGCGTTTTGCGGCTTGCGCGCTCCTAAATTGGTAATCAGAAATAAAAAAGATAACATTAAACTGTTTATTTCTGAGAAATAAGACCATATTAAACTCTGTTAATGGCCCTATGGCGTGTAATATTGATATAGCTTTCTTTATAACTCACCAGTTTCGAAAATAAATCTATAAGTAACCCATATAAAGCGCTAGAAATAAAATTACGTTTTTGAACCTTTGTGCATGCGCGCAATGAATTGCGCTAGAAATAATTAATGAACTTAATACTTCATTTTCACTAGTGGGCGCGATGAGACCAATTTTTCTAAATTTTTTGTTCTTTCTATGCATGTAATTAGTTTTGTTGTAGATGTTGAACTCGAGTAGGCAAATACAAAAATCTAAACATTGTAAAGGTTTTTTGAAAATATCTATTTAATGGAGATAGATATTACTTTGGGCGCGGTAAGATAATTTTTAGTGAACAGGCAGCTAAATTTTTTGTATCTTAACTCCAATCATGAACTCAGGGGCGTAAATAAGGATTCTGTAGGGGGGGGGTACATTTTTTTAATTAGGCGCGCGCGAAGAGCGCCGATTTTTTTTTACACCCCCCCCACCCTAGAAAAATATCATGATGTATATCAAATTATTGGTTTTAGTTTGGTTTGATTTGCATTTTCCACTCATTTCTGGCATTTACAAACTCCATCAAATATAGGCTTAATTTCCTACCAATTTCAGCTTTCATCTTGTTTTATATCTTTCATTATAGTCATTCGTTTTTCATTAACTACAAAGATCTGTAAACTGAATTAATTTTAAGTTACATAAAAAATATTTTTACTCTGCAAAACTTTGAAAAATTATTGTATTTGTTTATATTCAAATTCTAGCAGAGGTCAATATAGTCTTATTTTTAAGAAATAAACGGTTTAATGTTAACTTTTGTTAATTCTGATTACCAATTGAGGAGCGTTCATGTCGCAAAACACGTTTGGGTGGCGTTTGTTTACTTTTGTACTCCCCCCTCAAGGGTGAGAGCTCTACGAAGCGCTCACTAGAAACGAAACAGATTATAATTAATTTACCTTAATATAAGATTTCCTACAAAAGATTTTGCTGCAATAAATTCTAAGGATTTGGGACTTCCCCATACTATAATATTTGGACCTGCCATTCACCCAGGTTCATGTCAGACTGACTGACCAGCCCAACTGCGTCCAGGATTTTCAGCGGTCAAATCATATTCACCCTCCCCCTTTATTCATACTAACTCTTACCTTTCGACCTCCCCCCTTTCAACCCACCTTCCCCCTTTCAACCCACCCCCACCCCTTTCCTGGTCCGTAACCAAACAGTATCTTGCCTGGTGTGCAAGCTCGTCCAAATAATTTGTTAAGATATAAATACTGGTCTGGAAACCCAGCTTTGTTTGGAAACTTATCAATATGGTACATTGCACGAATTAAAGACAACTGTGCAAAATCTTTTCAGTCTTTTACCTTGCATGCATAGGTTGTAAAGGTGTTGTTTCCTTTATGTCAAATATTTTAAACATTTTTGCAATATTACATTCAAAACGAACAGAAGATGAAATTCAGATCAGTTTATTTCAGAATTTCAGGTTGTCATTAAAATCTCATTTCTTGTGGCTAACCCTGTATATGACACCATTAATTCATACTCTGTAATAATGCAAATTGTGTCCTAGCTGCAGCGCATGGCCCAGAAAGATGGTCACAGTTTCCATAAAGNTAAAAAGATAGATTCAAAAACTCTTTCCTCAAAGACAGATATATTTTCTAGGACCTCAAAATCATGTTCATTTTTTACCCAACATGCTACCCCTCCCCCTACAGTTGAACACAAATTATCCATTTGATTGCGCAGTTTGTGTACTACAGGCTTATATCCAGGGATATTCGTTTTGAAATATTTAGGTATTGTCCAAACTTCTTGCATACAGATTATATCAAACTTAAATTCACCTTGATTAAGATCTAGTAAAAAGTCCAAAAAATTGTTCCATTTTCCTGGTAAACTTCGTATGTTCAATGAAATAGCTGCAAAATCATAATTTTCTTTAAAAACGTTTAAAAATTCTAAAG